TAGCTAGAAAATTTAATTTGCTATACTTGATAAAAACAGCTCAGGGTTACTGCTAATGTGTGATGGTCACAGAGAAGGAACTTCAGTTTTGTGTTTGTATCATTTTTCTAACTACATATGCCTTTCTTCCTCACAAAAGAATTTAATCTTTCATTTTCCCTGTGTGTTTGAAATACTAGATATTAATGAAACATTACCTAAGTACTTCCAGCTGATGCCTAGAAAAAACATTATTTTGCACTGGAACATGCTTTATTTTTACAGATGACTTCAAAAGGAGACTCATTTGTGGAGATTAGCAGAACAATCTAAACAGAACTACAATCTTCAAAGTCCACAAGTCAATGGGTTTAGAAGGGAGTAACTCTAGATGGCATTACATTGTAAATCTATCAACAGTTACTGGCCAGCATAGTGAAACTGTAACCTTCATATTATGTGGCAGCATACCGTTGTGCATTAAATGGCAGGAAGGTAATCAACAGGGGAAAGGCATTGTCTTCATGACTTGCTTGTGGGCTTTCCAGACACTTCTGGCTAGCCACTTTTGCTCACAGGATGCCCAACAAAACTTCCTTTTAGTTTGATTCAGATATTCCTTTGCAATTAACTCTCACCTTTTACACGGTATCCTTCCACCATTTTCTTCCATTATTTTTTGTCCCCACTGTTCCCTCAAAAAAAAATCATAGAACTTCTCTCAGAAATGCATCCTCAGAACCTCACTTAACTTCTGTTGATGTCTTAGGCTCTAGCATCTAGAAAACAATCTTTTAAAGATTCAACCCAAAGATAGGCCTTAAGAATTCATCGGTTACTGACATTAACCTAAGCTTATGTAGATCACAGTTTGCCAGGAGGAGATCTACTGTGCGCCCAACCTCCTCTCATTTCTCAGTGTTCTGAAGAAAGGCACCCACAGAAGGCTGATACCATGAAGAGAAGCTTGTTCAGAGCTCTAGTGCCCTATGTCAGTCCATGTTTCCTCTTATGCTTCCTATTCCTGCTTCTCCTGTCTCTGCAGACCTCCTGGACTCCTGCCTTCCCCCTTTCACTGTCTGACCTTTATATAGCCCTGGTTATTTACGTAAACACTATAAGAAATCACATGTACATTAGTATAATAGTATGAAAAGAGATCCCTATCCAATCTCAATAGGATTTGCTTTTCTTTCATAGATAATAACGTCAAGAGATGTTTGTTGTTGTTCAGTTGCAGTCGAGTCCGACTCTTTGTGACTCCATGGACCACATCACGCCAGGCCCTCCTGTCTTCCATCGTGGTCCAGAGTTTGCTTAATCTCATGTTCATTGCATCTATGACACTGTCTAACCATCTGAGAAGGGAACACTCACTGGAGAAGACCCTGATGCTGGGAAAGATTGAAGGTCAAAGAAGACGGGGACAGCAAAGGATAAGATGGTTAGACGGTGTCATAGATGCAATGAACATGAAATTTAGCCAACTTCAGAGGACCGTGGAAGACGGGAAGGCCTGGCGTGATCTTGTCCATGGGGTCGCGAAGAGTCGGACTCAACTGTGCGACTGAACAATAACAAAAAACCATCTCATCCTTTGCTGTCCCCTTCTTTTACCTTCAGTCTTTCCCAGCATCAGGGTCTTCTCCAGTGATTGCTCCCTTCTCATTTGGTGGCCAAAGTATTTGAGCTTCAGCTTCTGTATCTGGCCTTCCAGGGAACAGTCAGGGTTGATTTCTTTTAGGATTGACTGATTCGATCTCCTTGCAGTCCAGGGGACTCTCTAGAGTCTTCTCCAGCACCATAATTCAAAAGAATCTATTCTTCGGCGCTCGGCCTTCCTTACAGTCCAACAAGAGATGTTACCAAATAGTTTAAATATAAACAACTCCACTCCCACAGTTTTTCAACAGACATTTGAATTATGTAGTCCAAATATACTTCCAGTAAAGACACCACATAACCAAAGCAGGAATTTTCAATAAATGGCTTAAAGAAGAACTTTATAAATGCCAATATACAATAAAGACAAAATACATCATAACACAGAGTGACAGATACACAAAACCAAGAAGGCTGGAATACAGAAATGTAGACTGAAAGTGTGCCTTAAGAAAGCAATGGCATCACTACCAAAAAAAGAAAAAAAACTTATATAAATCCTACAGAAAAGTTGGCCTCTTATAGCCTCCTGTCCACTTAGTGAACCTGGAACAAACCACTTAATTCTATGATCTGTTGCATATTGCTGGAATGTATGGGAGGGATCTAGCTAGAATGGCTGCTGCACATACCCTCTTTCTTCCATTGTGGCCTGACCAGAGATTCTGTGTAAATTACTGTGTGAAATGCACGAAAGATTTGAAGTAGGCTATCCTTGGAATTTGAGCCCTGCAATTTTAAAAAAGGAACTTTTAAAAAGCCCCTCACTCTTAAGACAACAAATTCAGTTGGAAATGTAAGACACAAGATTTGAGTACCAGTGTTACTTAACCAGTAAACAATTTTCTGCTTCTCATACACAGCAAACAGATTGCCCTTCCTTTTCAGTGCAGATCTTCTATTGCAAATTATTGAGCCAATAATATTTATACTGAATAACAAAAATTAGTGAACACACTATAGTACAGAATCAGCTTGGTGACTTTGCTGCTGCTACTGTAAGTGTAAAAAAATAAAAGCTATGTTTAAATCTCATGGAATGAACTCCTTGTGCCTTAGCATTTAATCACTTGCTTAAAAAAATAAAACTCTCTACAGAAAAACTGGCTAATGACTTTCCGCTTGCAAGTTTTGGGGCAGTGCACAAAGTAACTATTCAGAAAGGCATAAACGGAGAAATAAGACTACGTCTTTCATTTAAATTCTCATTAACTGCTTCCTAAAAATAAAAGATAGTTTTAAAACCAACAGAAAATAAACTCATTAGAAAGCAGGAAGTTGTAATGGATGGAAAAACTGATCCCGTTTCGAATTCCTTTTGTGGCAGATTTTTGACAGACTGAATACTTTTCAGATCTTAGTCATCTGGCTCATATCTACAAAAAGAGAAAATCAGATAAAAAATTAAAATATAGTAGCAATCTGTCATTTGAAATAAGCAAACAAAATTTCAGATTATATTGTACAATGCCATAGGAGTTCGGCAATTATATACTATTTATAATTTTCAATTTTTGGTTACCCACTACCATTATCTTGGGATATCCTTACAAAGATTTTGACACTGTGGTGCATGTCCTGATAATGCTTAGCTCAGATTACTGCAATGCACTGTACATGTAGCTGCCCCTGACGACTGTCCATATTCTACAGTTGTTACAAAATGCTGCAGCTAGAACAGTGACTGAAGTGAGTCATAGGGACCATACCACTTCAGGTTTGTTCCATCTACACTGGCTTTGCTCTTAGTACCAGACTGTCTGGCAAACTGCTTGTGAAGCTGAAGGTAATTTAAAAAGTATTTATTTATTGAAAACATTAGGTGCCATAATGAAAACAACAAGGACTAAACTCACAGAAGTCACAGTTTAAAACTCCAAATAGGACCACCAATGGTAAATAGTAAATCAATCAAAATGCAGTCCTAAACAAAACTGTCTGCAACTGCCTCCTGCAGATAGACAACGAGGGGCCCAGGTGTACCCCCCTGGTGAGGCTGTTGCATAATTGTGGGGCTGCCGTGGAAAAGGTCCCCTCTTCTGTGCCAACCAAATGGGAGTCTTTAATTGGTGAGAGAGTCAGAAGGGCATTTCTCGGTGATCTTTATTCACAGGAACATATGGGAGTAGATGGTCCTTCAGATATCCCAGTGCCTAGCCATACAGTTCACAAAATAGTATGAGGATCTACTGTTAATTTTTTCCCACTAAGCATATGCAAATGCTTTGGCACATCAGAAGTAGTATTTCTAGATCCAAGCCTCATTTTCTATTTACTGAAAATTTCTAGCTCCTGAGAGTTAGCAAAAGCAACACAGACCGGGCATGCTAAGAGAGTACCACTAACTTTGAAAGTTTTTTCCGTAACTCCTTTATCTGTTCATTCTTCTTCGCAAGAATCTCTTTCATGTTGCGGTAAGCAGCTGTTTGTTGGAACTTCTTTTCCAATTCCTGTTCATCAGAAACATTTACATATTTACTCAGTGGTTTTTAACTTTCAAACAAGAATTATGTTCAATTTACCATTATTCAATTTCAGATAGAAGACAAATAAACACAAAATAATCCACTATATAAACAAACATGCATAATGACTGTGTTGGAAATGTAATAATCTTGCATCCATGTTCTATTAAACATTTTCTACAGCAGCGAAGTCACTCAGTTCACATACAGTTACCCTGGGAATCAGAGCTGAGATTTGCAATTCTGATTTCCAGGCAAACTATGGTTTGTGAAAGCCACAGTTTGTCCAGTTTGCATGTAATAGCAAACAATGATTTACTAAGAAACAGAAGGAAGAAAGAGTGCTACACTGCATTAGTGAAATGGGCAATGGATGAGGGAACATGAATGCCTGCACTTTTCCTAACCCTCCAAAACACTGTTTTAAGTGCGTGTTATTTTTGAGAGGAACTTTTCAATTTTTTTATCCTCACTTCTGAATTAGAGGAATCTAGGATGCCATTGCACTGATTTTTTAATCAGGCCAGCATGGTACAGTGTCTTATAATTCCACTCACCTTAGTGCAGAACTTTCCTCCAAAAGGGTATTATTTCTAAATTTCCCCCCACCATATGATTAACCTCCCCCACCAACATCAGTAAAACTTGTAATTTAAAAGCCACTCCCCTTTCAAAAACAGCAGGAGCTAACTAGCTATTTAACTTTAATCATATTCTGGTCTATAAAAGGCCAAGCAATACCTAAGCAAAAAGGATATTCCGTTATTGTCCTTCATGTAGATCACAGTATTCTTGTATAACGAAGGAAACACTGTACATCCTTCTCCACTAGCACTGCCTGAGCTTTATATATTACAGAGCTCTGAATTTTTTTTACAAGAATGGCAATGACCATAGCTATGTAATGGAATGAAAACTGACCTTTTCTGCCATAGCTAGTTGGTCATGAACCTTAAGGAGCTCATGCTTTGTTGTCACCAGATTCTCTTCCAAGGACTTTTGGTTTGCAGTACTGTCATTCAAAGTTTTTTCAAACTGGCACTTCAGAGCAGCGACTGTATTTTCTAGTTCATTAATATCCTGAGTTGTGTCAAACTGAAAAGAGAATTAAACATGAACATTCATGAACATACATGAAGCCGCCCATTGGTCCATCAAGGTCAGCTCTCCAGGGTCTCAGGCAGAGGTCTTTCACATCAACTAATGCCCAGTCCTTTTAACTGGAGATGCTGGGGATTGAACCTGGGACCTTCTGCAGACAAAGCAGAGGCTCTTCCACTGAGCCACAGCCCCTCTCCTTTTAGAACACAATTTGTATAAAAATGCTAAATAAATTCTCATTAAGGCTAACATAAAAATGAGTTTTTGTATGTATACTACACATACATATTCTCAAAATCTGAAATGCTTCATATCATCAAACATACATACAATGTACTCATAAAGGAGACATAACTTTAGACTCATTTTTTCCAGAATAGGAAGGAGATGGCAAAGCAGTACCCTTGTCATTATAACCTAAAAACAAGTAATAAAAGAGAGCTCTGAAGTGGAGATGGTCAAACAAGTTATTTAATTACAGTGTAATTTTTAATCTGAAAACTTGTACAGAAAATACCACCTCCCACAAGCAGATGTCTGCAACACCAAGGTATCAGAGTAACATAAAAGAACTTCCATGCTTATGTAATGGAACTGCGAGGTATACGTTCTTGTTTTATGTTGTAGTTTTTATTCAGTGTGAGCGTGGACATTGTAAGTGAAGCATACTTAGCAATACAAAAAAAAAGGGGAAATGAACTGTTCAACCAGAGTCACTGTCATGAACTGTTGATTGAGAACAGGGATGCTGATTGTAGGCCTGGAGACCAAGCCCTACAAGGAAAGGCAGAGGGATTTGGGAATGTTTAGTCTGGAGAAGAGGCAGTTGTGGGGGGACATGATTGCTCTCTTGAAGTATCCGGGCTGTCACTTCAAGGAGGGCAGGGAGCTGTTCCTGTTGGCAGCAGAGGATAGGACTTGCAATCATGGATTTAAATTAAGGGTGGGAATGTACCAGCTGGATATTAGGAAAAACTTTTTTACAGTAAGTGTTGTTCAACAATGGAATCATCTGCCTAGGGAGGCGGTGAGCTCCCTCTCACTGGCAGTCTTTAAGAAGCATCTGGATGAACACTTTGTAGGCATAGTGTAGATCAGGGGTGTCAAACCCATTGGTTATGAGGGCCAGATCTAACATAAATGGGACCTTGTTGGGCTGGGCCATGTGTGTCATAAAATGTAATGCCAGGTAGCGGAGATATAAACTTTATAAAGGACACAAACAAAAAGGGTTTTTTAATTCAAAACAAAATCATGCTTAAAACATTAGCACTCTTGCAGTACACTGTTTATTTAACAGTGTCTGATAACTGACACCTTTTGCTCTGAATTATTGCATCAAAATGTCTGTGCTGTTGCCATTTTGAGTATGATGTTCAGGTGTGTATCTGTAAGCTGCAAACCTATGATGATGCAGCAGCAGCAGCAGAACAGGAAGAAGAAGCAGAAGATAGCCAGTTCCACTGTGGGCCTGATAGAAGTCCTCCAGGGGCCTAATCCAGCCCCCGGGCCGCATGTTTGACCCCTGGTGTAAACTGATCCCGCACTGAGCAAGGGGTTGGATTAGATGGCCTGTATGGCCCCTTTCAACTCTGTGATTCTATGATTACAAATCAGACAGAAAGCACTTGAATAAAAAGGCAAACTAAGAATTCAGGTAGGTATTCTTGTTACAATTTTAAAAATTGAGCTCAAACACCAACCTGAAAAACCATGAAAGTAAAATTAGCTCTAATGCTTTGGGGCTTCATTTTATTACAGTAAAAGATAGTTCCAGAGAAACAAAATTTATCAGCATACTATTCTGTATTTCCCAATAGCTTCCTTTCTTTCCTTTTCAAAGCTCCTATGATCAGATGATCTTGAGCAATGGCTAAAAGAATAATGCATTATTTACTAAAGGAAAATATGTTAGACAGAAATTTTCAACCAAGTAGGTTATGTTTGGGTCATGGTCTGGAATCAGATAAGGTATATTACCCCCTTGGAGTTTATTAAATGGAGAGTGTGTGGAAAGCAGTGAGATTCAGTGGTTCTTAAAAGTGGTAAAAAAATGGTTTAAAATATTTTGTGAGACGGAGTATCAATTTTACCCTGGTCGCAAAGGCAAAAACGGTCTGAATATGGAATACAATGAAATCTCCCCTGTAATACTTTGGATGGGATGGCATTAAGGCAAGCTAAAGTGAATGCCCTAACAAGGTGGGGGGCCATTAGGTGTCTCATGTATAATGGCAGAGTCCGAGGAGGTAAGATACCAAAGAATTGACTCAAGCAGACTCTGCAAGAGCGAACACTGTACTGTTGTAATCCAGCTCCATAAGGCAATGCTGGACAAGTTAAAGGGCCTTTGCCTTACTGAACAAGAAGATGTCTTCAGTTATAAGCCCAAACTGCCTTAATCTAGCATCTACTGTCTTCATCCATTGAGAATGGTAAGCGTCTTGTTTGTACAGCAGACCTTCAGCTTCTGAAGCAAAAATAATTCTTAGCGCGGAGCCACGCTCTAGCTTCCAGTGACTTTTGGCCGAGTTCAGCTCTGAGAGATACGTTTTCCCAATAGCTGCAACTAGCAAATCCCTGACTTCACTCTTTTAGTCTTGGCCATATGAGAAAATCCACTGACAGTCCAAACGAGACCTTCAGGGCTGAAAATCTAAGCCTACTTGCATGGGAATTAAAGACCACTCCAATCAATGGGATTTATTTGAAAGTAAACACAGAAAAGGAGGGCTGGATGACAGAGTTTCAAGGAGTTATTTAAATCTGACAAGTGGATTCACTGTAAATGTTTTAGGGCTGAAAAAGTACAAACGCTTTAACAACATGGTACAAGAGTAATAAATGAAAGTTCAGTTGATCAGTGATGTTAACTTTTAATTTATCTAAAATGACAGCTCAAGACTTGGCCATTGTTAGCCTGGGGAGTTAAAAAAATCCTGGGAATTAAAAAACCCCAAGTACCAAATAAAAGCTGCAGAAGTTCTTAATTTCTGTGAACAAAGGATACCCCCAGCTGAACAACACTGTTGTATGAAAATGATATGTTACAAACAATAATTATATTGCCTTAGATAATACATACCAGATGCCATATTAGAAAGCAAAATCAAAAGAAACTTGAATTAAAACAATGAAAAAACTGTATGAAACACAGAATAAAAACATAAAATTAACAGGTATTTAAATGCCTACTTTATAATACTCGTGTCATAAATCAAAGAAAATCATTCTATTTTGGAATTCATCCAAGTAGACTTTAAAGCCTTATTACAGACTTTGGCAGTGCTGCAATACACATAAGCAGAAATGCAGTACCCATATGGGCCTAGGGCACAATTTTACCTTTTTATCTTCTTGAACTATCTGTAGATCTCGCAGAGCCTTCTCTAGCTTTGATTTTTCATCCAGTGCAGTCGTCGCCTGTAAGAAGACTTGAACATTAAAATCCTAATATGTTTACAGAAGTAACAAGATTGTGTTTTTTCCATGCATGTATCACTATCTCACAGTACAACGCTATCCAGAGTTACACCTGTAAGTCTGTTTAAGGCTGTCCTGTTAATGAGTTTACCTGCACTTCTATAGTCTTTAATCTAGTCTTCAGTTTTTCATTTTCTTCTTGAAGTCTCGCAATTTCCTGCAGAAAAATAAAAAGTTAGCTTGATCATGACTATATTCCTGTATTGCTAAGTATGTTAAAACTACCAAAATATCTGCTGGCACAGGGCTGTAGCTAGTGTGTGCTCCGCAGGGCGATGACCCGTCCCAAATTTTTAACACCCTTCCCTGAATCTGAGCGCCCGCCGTGCCATTTTCCTGCTGCATCACACTGCACTGGTCAAAGCGCAGTTTCCACCTCCTTTCCTCGGATAAGCCAGCATCAACTGCTGCATGGCCTCAGCAGAGCAGCTTCTCCTCTTTCCGGAGTAGCTGGCAGCCGTGCGTCATCGTCCCTTTCTTCTTCTAGCAAAACTTTCTCAGCTGAGTTGGGGGCATCCCTCTCTTCATCCCTCCTCCCCCTCTGTGGGGACGGAGCTGTGCCTCACATTTATTTAGAGGGTATTTTTTAAAAAGGAAGACCAGGTAGCTCCCACAAGCTGCCCTCCTCCACTCTCCTGGCCAGCCTTTCTTGAAGGCAGTGCCTGTGAGGATTCTCTTAGGAGTACCCAATCGCTGCTGCCAGGCTCCTGGGAAGCTCCGGGTTCTGGTTTTGCCAATTTTCTCCTGAGGTGGAAGGTATTTTGGAGGCGCGCCTGAGCTACAGGCTCCTCCCTGCCTTATCTGCCTGGGGAGGGGAAAGTTGTGGAAATACTAAGTTGTGGGGGGGAAGAGAACAAGCAACCAGGGGATAGGCTAAGCCATTGCTGTATAATTAGAGGAAAAGTGGAGGATGGAGAGTCTACCTTGGGGAGGGTCAAATTCCCGATTTTCCAATTTACAACCTGTAATAAACCTAAAACACTTTTTTCTGCCCCTCCTCCATCAGTGCTCCCTTTCCATCCAGTGCTCCCCCATCAAAAATCGTCTAGTTACGGGGCTGGGTAGCTAGTGTCCCATACCAGAACAACCATTTCCATACCAGGACAACAAAACAAATTAGACAATGGCAGCTTTTTTAGTCTGTCATTTTCATAATAACCCACATTAAGTCATATTAATACATTTATTTTATTCCTAGGTTATTTTAAAGGACAGAGTTTATAGATGTAATTTTTCTGTACATCACAGAAAAAAAGGATGTCCACATTCAATTAATATTTCCTTCTCCTATGCCCATTTAACTCTAGAGAGTGAAGTGATCCAGGGGAACAACAAAGATCAAACTGCAGCTGTTAGTGGAGAAATGTCCCTTACTTAACCTAGGGCAGGAACATGTTAATTTGGATTGCTCTATGTGCAGCCGCCAGTTCCCATCTGTGATTAATCAGACTGAGGCTTTGAACTCTTTTCCAATAAAACATTGACTTTAAAGACATTTCCAGTCTCTTTCTAGGTATGCTACCCTCTCTGGATTTCAGAACAAAAGCCACCAGAACCTTTTTTAACTAGAGTCCCCTTCCAGCCAAGAGCAAGGTTCAGACTCTTAACTGGTCTCTAGGACTTAACACATTAGCAACTCTAGCTCAGAGATGCACTTAATCTTACATAGGTAGCATGTGGCCAGCTAGGCACAGGAGTTACATCAGACAAGTTAGAAACCAGGATAAGTTTATTCAGCACAGAACTTAGCAATTAGACTAATAAGGATTTCAAAACAAGAAAACTTATGGCTCTTGGCCCTCACTAAACATAAAAGAGATCTACATAATTACCAGAGATGATCTATAGTCCAAGATTGTCCAGTGTTATAGTCCAGGTACCATCTTTGTGCAAGCATGCAGCCATGTACTCAGCCTCACAAAGGAGTTCTTTGTCTCTCCCAGAGACAGTATGGCAAGACAGCATTTCAGGTGTCCATCCGAGATCTCACAAACAGGAACAGAGAGAGAGCTCTCCTCCAAGGGATCAGACAGTTAAAAACCCCAATCTAGTCGCAAATTAGGCCTGGCCAGGAGCCAATTGGAGTAGACGTAGGAGTGTCCAATTGTTGAGTTGCCATGGGTGCAACATCTGAATGGCTAGAGCTCGGAAGGCCACACCTGCAGTCATGTGACCCCCAAATTCCAGCCAGTCTATGGGCTACGTGCTTCGGCTACGTGAGCTTCTGACATGCTTGGCAGAGGCCATCTGGTCTCTGTCAGCATGGAAGTGTGAAGAATGTGGAGTCATAGGCAGGGCTATTGAGGCCATTTGGCTTCAACAGGAACAAGGCACAGCATGGTATCAGAAAGACATTCCAGGGGAAGGCATGAAACCTTTAGAAATCAATATTTCTATACAGATATACACCACCAATTTTACTGGCATTTATCTATATAAAATAAAATTCAAAGACAGCAGCATTGGCTACAGCTTCTATCAGTTTAGTGCACTAGAATCTCTAACATTTGCTTGTCTTGAAGCCCTGGTACAAGAGACAGAGAAGAACTGCCGGGAAGACTAACACATTCATGAGTTTCTGAGGGTTTATCATGTCAAATGCCACTGACCCAGGTTCATCCATAATTCAGAGGTTTCTGATTACACTGCTGTGGATTGGGATGGAGGAGAAAGAATGCTTGTTTTTAAAAAGAGTCTTGATTTTCAATTATTATAAATTGTATATTATTTTGTATAATTTATTATTAAACCTTAAATATAAGCAGGGCTTTTTTTCTGGGGAACACACTGGAATGCAGTTCTGAAACCTCTTCGACAAAATTCTTTTAGAAATGTTTAAAATTCATGAGTTTTCAGTATACAGATTGAAAACTTCATTTCCCTCTTGAAAGTTCCAGCACCTCTTTAAAAGGAAAAAAACTCCGCCCTGAATGTAATTATAGAGCTGTGACATTCTACAAAATAATGGGCATTTCCAAATTACATGTGCAAAAAATGTTTTGCGAAATTCTATCTGCTAAAAATACAGACATATTGGGTGCGTTCAGACGGGGCATTTCTGCCAGCATAAACTGCACCGGTTGGAACCGGTGCAGTTTATGCCGGCAGAAACGCGATCACATTTACCTCCATCTTCCGGATCCCTCCGTTGGACGCCCGCTCACACGCTGCGGGCGTCGGCGGTTTTTTTTTTTTTAAGCACAGTTTGAGCATGCGCATAGGCAGCCATTCAGAGAATGGCGATCTTTGCGCATGCTCAACCTCCCCCCATTACATTTAGGTAAGCACTTACCTTTAAAGTTTAAAGCCCAACCTGGCCTCCCTGTAGTCCCGGACTCCTCCGGGAAGTTAAACTAAGGGCTTTTTAAAAAAAAAAAAACAAACGCTCAGGGCGAAGCTTCGCCAAAGCACATATCGCTTCCTTTAAAAAAAAATAATGGCGGGGGAAAGCCGGAAGCCTCAGGCTTCCGACGGAAGTAGTTGGGGAACGGGGTGTAGAGGGCTGTGCACCGGTTAGGGAGAGGAGGCAGATGTGCCCCGTCTGAACGCCGGTGAGTACAACGGTTGGAACCGGCACCCTAACTGGTATAAAGTCCCCGTCTGAACGCACCCATTGGGTTGGATTAAAAGTCATTATCAGCTGGCAAAAAGAACACTTCTGCAGATGGTGGTGGTATCTTCACCTGTTTCCCTCTTTCACTGCAGAGTCCCACACTGTGCAAAGTGATGTTCTAGAGGTGGAGAGTGTGTGATTCCATTCTAAGAGCAGAGCTCTGTTTACAATACTTTTAATACAGATAAGTGTTTTCCAAAACAATTTGTTCTTTGTTTATATAATCTTACTGGATTATGGTAACTTCTAAAAAGAGGTAGAAATAATGTGTATGACAGGCTCAGTTGAATACATACATAAGTAACTATATACATAAAACAAGAAACAAGTCTTACCTTCTGTAGCAAGTCTGATGCTCCTTCATGCAGTGGAGTAAGTTTAGGTTTAACCTGCTCAGGATTGGCCTACAATAGTCACAGAAATGTAACTGATTAAAAAGAAATTCTTCCTGACAACACAATATCAAGTATTCCTTGTGCTTTCCTAAATTCTAGCAGGAAAACTGCTAATTTCTAACTAGTATACAAAAAAACAAATTTCAGGATATTTTAATGACTCATGAAATGTAACACATGGCACAATACATATAGTTCATGTGAGTGATTTACCAACACGAAGGAAAACAGACCTCTGTTTTTGCAAGGGTTTTGCATATATGTCTATTCTACCCTTTCTCTCTCCCATCCTTAAGACTCTACCCTTGAGATGTACTTGTTGTTCAGGTTAAAAGTAACTGAAAAAAGCCGCTAGACAAATCATCGGTGGTTGTTTGTGGCCCCCAAATGTTGGCTCTACTTACTACCAAGCCATAATTTGTGTTTGCCAGGCATCTCCCTTCCCCCAAACCCTTTGCATACAGCAGAGAACTCAGAGAATGAGATGGTTTCTGGTACAGGGGTTGTAGAGGGGTTACTCTCCACACCGAAGCCTCAGCTAGAGTACCCAGCCTCTTCCTTCTTCTTCCCAGTCTTAGTCCTGGACAAGGAGGGAGCTAGGGACTATATTTCTAGGCCTGCTGATCTCAGCCCCTTTAACAGCAGTGTCTAACTCACATGTGCCCTTTCTTTTCTCTGACAGCCCACAAGAATCCTGGGTCTCAGAAGACTGCCTCCCATTTATCTGTTTTTTTCTAAAGTGTCACAGTTTGAGTTGCTGATAGCACAGCAATAGAATTCCAAATTGCCTCCTTGTCCAGCCTCACAATGGAAACTGTTCTTTCTGCCAACCACTGGACCTCCATTGCTTATCTCATTTTACTTTCTCCCCATCTCCCCAGGCCATTCTTTCTTTATCTCTACAATGCAGGCTGGATCAATGGTAATCCTCACAGGGGTGTCAGGGCTTTGAAACAGAAAGAACAAGTAAGTGTGTCTCACTCACACTGTTTCTGCCTTTTACAAAAATCAGCACATCATAAAACATACTTCCACATCCAAAATGGGGGGCAGGGAGATACATGCCAATGTTTTTCTGAGGAGGATCTCTTGCTTTAGGGATTGATCAGAGGATCTGTGGAGATGTGATGGTTATTATATATGCAAAGGCATGAAATGATGGCTTGATTGAGAACTGAGAATCCCTGCTCTAAGCAATTACTTTCTGGTTTGTTACTTTCCTCAAACTCAGAGCTATAAAAACTCACAGTCTATTTGGCCATAATGACAGAAACAGATACCTACCTTCTTATTTGAAGATACAAATTCTGCCCTTTCAAACTCTGCAAGTTGCTCTAACAAGTTCCTTGGAAAAATTAAAAAAAGTTTCAGTTAAATATTAGATACAATTCCTACATTGTATTCTTCACAGCAAATAATTAGGAAATGGAAGAATTAACCCATACATGGAAAAAACCACAAATTATGTCTAGACCAACTCTCACATGGACAAATTTCCCTAAAAAAGACACAGCATTATTTTACATTAAAAGTTACTTCAGATATTAAAGTGATACTTTAAAAAGTCCTGGAACAACATCCACACTTCACATGTTAAAATGTATCAGTAGAGCCTTCTGAGCCAATACAATGTTTTCTCCATGGTTAATATAGTTACCTATTTTCCAGCTCAGAAATGTCAGTCTGCAGTTTAAGATACCACTTCTCAGCTTGGGAAAAGATCTGACGCAGGAGTAACACATTTGTGTATGCTGTATTAATAAGTTCTGACTCTACTTCACTGTGTACCACAGTCTGCAAGCCATCCAGCATATCTGACACTTCATCTATTGTGAATGTCTCTTCCACAAGCCTGAGCAGAAAAAAATAATAAAAAATGACATAGAACTATTGAAAGAACCATACCAGCAATTAAAAATATCAGAAGAGGCCTTAAGAAGCATATGATTTTTTTTAAAATTGTGGCAAAATAATTGGCAGTTGGCCTTTTGCTAGATTTGCTCTTCTGAGTAAAATGCTTAAGCACAACGGTTGAGAGCAGCACATGCAAAGCACACTGGCTAATTTTTACATTTCATAGTAAGCCCTTTTCCCTCATTTATTGCTTTTCCAGAGAAGCCCCTAACCTGTGGGGTGGCAGCTTTTTTAGGGGGCTAAAGGTTTCTTTGAGTTATTTTTCATATTGCTCCATCCTTAAAGTACCTGCTATCCTTAAGGTCCTGAAAACAAGAGTCCACTGTCTTGAGACGCAGGCCACGCTTAGAGCGTGCAAATCGCATGTAGTTAATCACTTCATTCTGGTGGTGTTCGTTGAGACCTAGCTCTGCCTATGAAAAGAAAAGAGCACACAAAAGTAGTGTTTTTAAGTTGGCTCCTTCTGCTGATTTATAAGATGCTCACATTAATTTAACAAAAACAATTAAAGTTTTCTCAGCTAAAGAAGAATAAGCTACACTGGCAAATCAACTATCTGTTTAAATGCATGGTCTTCTACCTGAAAACAACAAAAACACATTTTAGTTTCATTTACTATAAATCAATAATAAAATTTAAATATATTTACATATGCTATTTAAGCCTTTGTGTTGGTTCTTTTTGGGGATGCTAAAGGAGGTACAATTTACAATACAACAAATAAAAGCTATCACAGTGTTAAAAACAAGACCACCTTTAATGTTTTTATTTCACTCTTCATTACAGTAACCTAGCAAAAAATCTTTATTGATTAAGCCTCATTGTTGTTCAAGTAATAGCAATGTGCATCTCAGAAAGAAACAAGGATAAAGCAACAAAAGTTAAAAAAAATTACAGTGATTCATCTTCAGTCATTCTGTCCCAGTTCTCCACACTTAACATTTCGCTCCTTCTACAGAGCCTTACAGGCTGCACTGACTTGTGCTCTTACTTGAGCTCAGTGAACCGAGCAGGACTTAGGTCTGGTTTGTACATGCAAGGGAATGAAGTAGCAATGCTATGATGTGGCAGGTCAAACTACTACACCTCAACCGCGACAGTGGAGTCCAGCTTTCAATGCTCCTTTGCATTAAAACAAACACCCCTTCCTGCACACAGAAAAGAAGAACAGGAGAAGAACATGCTGTGCCGCTTTTCTATCCGCAGGGAGCTTTCCACACAGGAGGGGCATTCCAAACCGTAACCCTCCAACCGTAGCAGGGGAGGAGGTTCATTCGACGTCCTCACTCTCCTGCCATGTGTGACCCACAGATCTTACATTCAACGTTGTTTATGGGCAGGTGCAAAACCGACATGCCTCTCCGAGCTGGCTCTGAGACACAACAGTGGGAGTATTTTGGCCATGTATATGAAAACTATACGAAGCTGCCGCATGCAGCGTCAGACCACTGGTCTGTCGAGGTCAGCATGTCTCACTCTGACCAGCAGTTGCTCTCTTTCAGCAAGGGGATCATTTCCCCACATCACTCTCTCAACGACAGACGACAACCCGGGGTTTTGAGGCAGATGCTCTGCGGCTACTGAGTTTTGTACCACGGGCAAGCCTGGCGGTGAGCTAGCGGGCGGCAGAACAGCCCGGTTGACCGTTACGGCCACATTCTGCACTACCCATCAACGGACAGCGGGCTGCAAGGCACGAAGGGCGACATTTGGGGGCACCGCTCTACATTGGAAGGGGCGTGACCGGGGGGGGTCGTCGAGACGGGTGAAGAAGCCCAAGGTCAGCGCGCGGAGGCCCCGTAACGGTTTCCAACGGCCGGAGGGGGGGACCGCCGCTAAGCCCAGGGCACTCTCCGGCCTGCTGCTGCCGGAACACGTCCACCTCCACTCTCTCCTTCCCGCGGGAAACTTGCGACGATAAGCGGGACTGAAAAGGAGCGACCCGAGGCAACTCAGCGGCTCACCATGACGAGCTCCCGCTCCTCAGTGAAGACGAGCAGGATGGTTGATTTACAGGACGATGGTTGCCATGGCGATGAAACGGCACCCTCGCCTCCGCCTTCTACCAAACCTCATTGGGCGAAGTAGTCTTCACGTGACAGGAAGTGAGGTTCGGTGGGCCGTCGGCTAAAGGGCAGGGAAACCGTTTGTTTGCTTTCAGAGATGGAAAGGCTCGAGCCACACGCATGCGTTCATTTGGTTTCCGGGTTTATTGCATGGGCCCCATTGAAATACATTACAGTACAAGTAGAGTTGCAATAAAAATGCGGAATGGATTTTCCATTAGAGTCTCAAGGCCCAAATACACTACTCTGGGGATGGAATGAGAGACAACGCAGTGTCACTGACGTGTCAGCATTTAGCACTAGTGTCCAGGGATAAGGCCTAGTGTTGTCGGGGACCCTACTAGAACGATAGATCTCTGTGTGGATTCTGCTAAACGCCAACCCTCAGAATGCATGACTGATTCTATCAGAGTGGAAATCCTCTTAGATTTCCAGTTTTGGTAGAAATGGTTTTTCAGCATTTCTCAGTTTACCCACTGTATTGCTGGTACAAACTTGTCTCTTCTTCAAGGAACGTCTAAAAAAACCCAGACAATTAGTACTGGCCAAGCCAGATCTACTCAAACAAAAGTGAAACAACATCAGGGTAACTGAAAGCTTTTTTAAAAATCTCCTAAAAATCCTATTAAGCCTCTATTAAATCGGCTATTGGCAACCCTAAAGTCTAGGATCTACCCAGTGCTATTCTGACATGCTAAGCACTACTATACCACATTGCCCCCTCCCATTAAATATATACAAATATGGGGATTTCTGGGCTTTAAATGTTTGTGTGGTAGGTAGAAAATCAACTATTCTTGTGCTATTCTGAGCTACTTAAAAGACCTAATGAATCGACCCCTTGCTATAGAAGAGCATTTATGCTTGCTCAGTTAAATTCTTTCCCCTTGGCCATACTGGAAGGCTGAATAGCAGACATAGCGTATTCAGAGTTTGTAAATGTGGATATGGAAAGCTTGTGTCAGTTGTTACCCAGGTTGTCATTAATCCACTTGGGATCAATGTACATCAGAATGTATTGGTTCTATTTGAACTCATTACTCTGAATGGGGAAACATGCATGTAATGGGAATATACAAAGATTAATACTGGAATGAGAAGCATACTGAAATGAATGTAATAAAGATTTCCACTGATCATAAATCCATAGCAGAATCATAATGTCATTCCTGATAGTAATATTGATAATAATTTACTGATGTCTTATTATACACCCCCCCTATTGTGCAAGGGTAATTATCTGCAATAGAAAATTTAAAATAAAATACAGACAGCTTGTTCTTCCATAACATAATATATATTTAATATCATAAATAAGAAATATAATGTTTGACAAATCCCCTCCATGTCAATTTGAACAAAGATACCCTTACAAAAACTAGCCATTCTATAAAAACCCCCAAACAAATCCAAACCCATAGTAAAGTAGACTAGGAAACCACAGCTAAAACATTAAGTGGATTTCAGTCCAAAATCCATTTTATATTGCACAGTACATGGCAAACAGTATTTTGGGTTAATTAAATAAACTTATTTTCTCAACTAAAAAGAAAATACAACCTTGTCTTTCAATAAGAACTCTATTCGATAATGAAATGGCAAATGCGTACTTTCTATTATATTGCTTTGATTTTTAACAGAACCTATTATATTGCTTTGATTTTTAACAGAACCTTTTTTTCCTTTTTTATAATGCTGGATATGCCAGAGATCCATTTACTATTACACCAAAAATGCCATTAAGGGCCACCCTCTGAACCCACAGTCCGAGACTCAAAACTTGCCCAGGTATTACATAGTAATATCAAGCAGTTAACTAAGACCCCATTCACATGCCACATTCTCTGCACTGACAGTGCGCATAGGGGGACAGAGAGTGCACAGCGTAGACGAGCAGCTGGCATTGTGCCATTTGCTCTGCCTGCCTTGCTATGGTAGTTCAAAGGAGCTGGATAGCAGGGGGGGTTACTATAGCTCTTGTGCTACAGTAGCATGAACTCCCCCTACATCATATAGCACTTTTTTGACAACAGTGAAAAAAGAGCATCTTTTTCTTGTGAATCACTGAGGATAAACAGTTGCTTTTTCCAGTTATCATGGTCTTACAGTTTATACATTTCTAAGGAAGTTAAAAAAATGTGAGTCTTAAAATATATCTTCCCACTGCAGCTTGCTTATAGTATCCATGCTGGGGGCGGGGGGAGTTTGTAGGCTTAACAGCTGCGTCAGGCATCTTCACGGAGGGACCCAATCCAAACTATGACCATATGATGCGGCAGGCCTTCGTCTGGACCATACTGCTTAATAACTGCATGCTTTGTATGCTCTTTAAAAGTTCTGCAACACATTCATAGTTCTTCATTGCATCACAGCAATGATCATTGTGGCACTGGGGTTCAAAAGGAACTTTCCAAAGTTTCAAAAGTCTGCCTCTGAGAATCAGCAATTTTATAAATACTGAGTATTCCCCACAAGAAATTCTAACTCTTATGACAATTGTTCCCAATGGGAAAAGTTTTAAAAATACATGTTGAAATATTTGAAAAATACAACAATTTAAAGTTCTACTTTACAAAAACAGAATGAAAGTATGTCCTTGAAAATTCAGTGTTAAAAACTGCCTTGTTTCAGAAGTGTCAGATGACCTCATTCATTTCCAGACAGACATAAACATTTTGGTTTTGGAAAGATCTGGTTCAAATCTTTCTGGACTCTTTGTACCAGGAATTCCAAGTTGGAATCTCTCAACTGCCTTTCAGACAACAGATGGATACTGAAATTTGAGCTAGTGCACTGATTCATTACTAGTGTATTCAACACAGTGTACACTAGGTGTCAGGAATGAGTTTTCAGTTTTTCAGTTGACTCATCTGGAAGTTCAGTGTTACCATATTTAAAAAAAACAAAAAGAGGACCTATTTTCTGACTGACTCCTTCAAACAAGTGATCCCTATGACAAATCTCATTTTAAATACCCCTGCTATTTTTTTTTTTGTTCAGTCGTACAGTTGAGTCCGACTCTTCGCGACCCCATGGACCAGATCACGCCAGGCCTTCCGGTCTTCCGCCTAACTAGGAATATTCATAACCTTCCAACCCCAAAAGAGGACATTTTCATCAGTTTTTTTAAAAAGAACCCAAAAGAGGACAGACACCAAAGAAAGAAGACATGTCTTCTCAAAAGAGGACATCTGGTAACCCTAAAGTTCACCCAATCTACCTTCTGTTATGGCTATTAGGAAAACAAATATTTGTATTCATTTTGTACTATTACTGTTAAGGATATGGCTGCCAATGCTCAAACCCTGAATGTTCTCCTTAGTATATTTGCTAGCCAGCACCCCCAAATCATGCTAGTGTAACAGTATTAAACATTCATAGACTTAAAATTAGGCTGTAAAAGTTAAAGATGGGGGGGGGGGAATCCCTCTCTTGGTAAGATCACACAATAATTTCCCTGTAATGTAGCTATTCATATTGACTTCTAAAACACTCTGTCATTTCTAAAGGTCAATGCTTCATGAATGAGTCTGCCATTAAGTATTTAATGGGCTATTAATCTCCATTACTGGGTGGAGTTCACTAAATTTGGTAAAATTAATGGAGGGGGTGGGCTTTGTAGATTTTGCAGGGTTTTTTTTTAAAATTAAGGGCTGTATTTTACTAAAAATGGAGTATAAGAAGCAACAGTGCTTAATTTTTTAAAAAAATATAAAAATTTTCAACCTATATTGATTAAATCAGAAGCATATTTCAGTTCCTATTTCTTAGCCCTTTGAAAACTATGTATCTGGATTCAGAGCCATTTATATGTCAAGTGCAAGCTGCATTGCTTCTTTGTTTTGGTTTTTAATTTAAATAAACAAAATGGCTTTTGAACGTTGGCACATGGTCCAGAATCTTTAGTGTTAGTAATAAAGATGTTTTCCTTTATATATGTACCAACATGTAAGTGCAGTTTTAGAATTATTGCATAGATGTAGCAAGGTTTCAAACACATTTGTGTTCTTAGTGCTCAGATAGATATATAAATAGTGTTTCTTAAAAATAAAATTTGAACAGAGACATATAAATATTGCATATATCCAAGGCTATGGAAAATCACTTCCATCATAAATCACTGGGCGTTGAAGTGTTAAGTGGTAAAAGACTTTTTTGGAGATAAACCTGTAGGGGAAAAAAATAGAAGAAGCATCAACTAAGCTTAAATTGTAAGAGAACAAAATCTTGTAGGATCTAATCCAGAATACAGAGATAGATAGATAGACAGACAGACAGACAGACAGACAGACAGACAGACAGACAGACAGATAAAGCCCCCTTGAAATCAATATTACTTGTGTTGAACCGGTTGCTTTTGGGGCCTAACTGCACAATTGTAACCATGTTTAGTCGAAAGTAAGTCTCATGGATTTCAGTGAGATTTACTTTAAAAAAAAAGTTTGTCTAGGATCGCTGCCCAACAGCGTAAAGTATCATTTCTGTGGAATCAGTATAACCTTGTCCATGTCCAATGCCCCCACTTACATGTTTGATGTTCCCCCCCATACATACAATCTATGAGTCATGAAAGAAACATTTCTATTTTATTTAGAAATAATAAGTTACATTAAGGGTTCTGAGTTTGCAGCCTGGGTTAAACCCTCCAACAGCGAGTAAAGCAGTGGTTCTCAAACTGGCGTAGAAAGCACTTCTAGATTCACTTTACTTCTTGTGCCCACTTGCAAAGTAATCCAGACTGCTTTCCCCCTTCCCAACATAAAATACAGTAATTTCACATCCATGAATACTGAACAAGTTTATATTCCATTTTTTTCTGTTTAGTATTTACCAATATATAGAATTGCTGAGCAACACACGGCATTTTACGTCTGCTTCATGTATTGAATTGGTTGGATCTGGCAGTCGATTTCTACTAACCGGAGGGGGAAGTGAAGAAGTTTGCCAGTTTTTCCACTGTAGACCTCTTA